ATAGTTCATTTGATCAACTCCTTGAGTTTTTGCATTCAACATTTCCACAAGACAACAAGGTTCCCCATTCATATTATCTATCCAAAAAGAAACTGAAGAATATAGGTTTGGAGTACGACTTACGAGTCAATACATGTATGCAAAAACGGTTTTTTTTCTCTTCTGGAAGGAACACAATTTATTGCAGATTTGTCCCTTTTGTAAAGAGAGACGGTGGATTGATAAAAACACCAAGGGTAAGAAGGTAGCTCATAAGGTGTTACGATACTTTCCAGTGACACCCAGACTATGACGCTTGTATTTTTCAAGGTACACTTCCAAAAATATGATATAACATAGTACCGGGAGATCAGAAGATGGTGTGATGCGTCATCCCGTTGATGGAGAGTCTTGGTGTAACGACTCAAATCTCACAACAAATTTAAACTTTTAAAAACAACCCGTAGTCATAAACTGTATACAAAATCATTGTTTCCAAATTGTTTATCAATATCAGAGTATCCAAAAATCATAAAGCCATACAACAGAGGATGTGTACGGTCACGCGTTCGCCTTCCCGCGATCATCAGAAGTAGTTGAAACAACAAACTAAAACCGTAAGCCAAAGCTTGGTGAGTTCCCCCAAAGTACCACCACATACAACATATCAAACAACAACATGCACAACTGAGCCTTCAGCCTGAATGGACCGCCTCGCAGGGCCTACAACCTATCTGGACCGCTCCTGAGCCTTCGGCATGACTGGACCACCTCGCAGGGCCTACAGCCTATCCGGACCGCTCGTCGGGCCTTCGGCATGACAAGACCGCCTCGCAAGGCCTACAGCCTATCCGGACCACCCTGGGTATCTTGTCCTTTAGCACAAAGCGGGACCGCCTCAACCCAACCAACCATAACATGTCGATATACACATAATAGGTAAACATATAACCATACATCAGACAAACAAACAGATTTACAGATCACTACCGCATACTATCATCCTATATACCAGGATACCGATCTAACAGATCTCTACCGCATAATAACATACTATCATATAACAGGATATCCAATCCAATGGGTCGGCCTTGGTGCCTTCGACCCGAAAGTACAATGAGGAAAACTCACATCTCAATCTGAACAATAGCTGATGAGGTCTCGACTCTGAATCTTAGCTCTATCCGTCACCTATCCCAACCAAGTAACCAATTCTCAACCACAATCTAAAATACCCCTAAGTCAAACTTGGTCAAAGTCAAAGTCAAAGTCAACACATAACCGAGTCCACCCAGCCGAGCCAACCCGACCGAGTCAATTCAGCCGAGTACGTTGGGCGTACCCTTGTGTACGCAGGGCGTACTCAGTATTGACCAACTTACGGGGTTCTGATTGCGTGCGCGCAACGTACCACTTGGTATGCCCATCGTACGCACCATGTTCAACCCTTTTTCCATTAAGAGCTTAATGCTCCAAATCTCCATGTCCAAAATCAGATCCAAGGCTAAAATATCATTTTGCGTCATAAAGTTTCCAACTTTATGCCTTTGCATGGACAATAAGTGCTTAAAACACAAACCCTCAACATCTTAATGCATTAAGACTCTCTAAAGCATGCATGGAGTGAAACTAACCCTCAATAACACATTTTTATTATTCAAGACCCCTCCTAAGGCCTGAAAGGACGACTTATTGGGTCAAGAACATGCCATGCTCAAGAATCACCATTTTTGGGGCAAAAAGTAACTTAATGGACTGAAATGTCTAGATCTACAAGATGGAGTGATAAATTTGCAAGCTCTATACCTCTTCGAGGTTGCAAACAAGAAGGAAATTTCAAATCCAAAATGCTTCTAAGCTTCAAGCTCTTCTCACCACCTTCTTCTTCTTATTCTTCAAACACACCTCCAAAACACTCAAATGGCTCAAAAATGGACTCTTCTCTCTCTTAGGGTTGCTTGAAGACGATTTTACAGAGGGAGGCTGGAGAAGAATGAGATATGAGGCTATAATGAGGTTTAAATATGAACCAAACCCTAAAAATTATGCTCTACCCTTTCCCCACGTACGCCTTGTGTACGAGGTGTACGCCCAGCATACTAGGGCGCGCCCTAGTACGCCTAACGTACACAACGTACGCTCAGCGCATTTCACTTGGGTGAAATTACGAAATTGCTACAATGGGCCAACCTAGCAACCTTCCTTAACTCAAGGGTCAAAATTGCAATAATATACAAACATATGGTTGAATCTGAAATTACCTTGACAACGGGATGTTACACTTGGCAAAAATTTTATATGGATTACCCTTGAATTCTTGAGTGAACCTCGCAACGTACACCTAGGGCTGGCAACTGATGACTTTAATCCATTTGGTAACATGTGCCGACCGCATAGTATGTGGTCGGTCATACTCACCACATACAATCTGCCACCATGGATTTGTATGAAAGAATCATCATTCTTGTTGGCCTTGTTGATTCCCGACCCCAAAGCACCTAGAAAGGACATATATGTTTTCCTTAGGTCGTTAGTGGAAGAGCTTAAGTTTTTGTGGCACTCAGGCATACCTATTAAAGACGCAGCGACAAACACATTCTTCACAATGAAAGCTATGTTGTTGTGGACAATAAACGACTTTCCAGCTCGTAGTAGTTTATCGGGTTGGAGCGAAAAAAGGTATAGAGCATGCCCGACTTGCAATGAAGACACTCCCTCAAATCGTGCAACAAATAAAGTCATTTATATCGGTCATTGTCGGTTCTTAGATTGCTAATGATCCATTAAGGATGAGTTTAAAATTTAACGGGCAACCCGAGACAAGACCCGCTCCGAGACACTTTACTAATGAAGACATACAAGAGCAACTAGGTCATCTGCTACTTCGTAAACCGAGTAAACATCCTAAGACTCTCAAGGATAACATGGATCAGCAAGGATTCGAGTTGGACTGGTCGAAACGTAGCATATTTTTCGAGCTCGAGTATTAGTCTTCTCTGCAGCTGAAGCACAACAGAGATGTGATGCATGTCGAGAAAAATGTGGGTGAGAGTGTTTTAGGTACTTTTATGATGAATGATAAGAGTAAAGACACATCAAATGCACGAGAGGAATTGAGAAATCTGAATATCTGGCGTAATCAATGGTTGCAAAGAATGGGTAACAAGTTCACTAGACCACATGCAAGATACTCATTCAAGAAACCTGACTACAAAATCTTTTGTCGATTTATAAGAGATGTTAAGCTGCCAGATGGGTTTTATTGTACATATTGCAATTTTATAATTTTGTAGGGTAAATAACTTTTATTTATATTGTGTTTCTATATTGTACATCTTGTAATTTTACAGGCTATATATGAGGTTTAGGTTGACGATACTTTTTTACATGATGACGAATGTTATGGGCCTAGGACATGGACGTGATGAAGTCGGGAATCTACCACCTCCAGTAGGCTTTGATCGCGGACAACACGAACATGATGATAAGTCTTATTATGATATATTTATTAGCTATTTTTATTAATTTATTATAAGCTATCGTGACTAATTATTTTAATTGTATTTTTTTCAGCCGAGCTTCTTAAAAAAAGAAGGGGACTATCAAAAAACATCCAACTAGAAAAGTTGATACATACAAACAAGGGAAATCCCGGGGTGTTGGATTTCTTCCAGGGAGATCACTGTCGGGAAGCATGGTAATTGGTTTACCCATAAGATTGAGAGATATATGTGGATGAACATCCCGTTCAGTGTATCTGGTTGGGACAATGTTTCCCCCGCTTTAAGGAATGCAACAGTCGTACATCTAAAGATAACTTGGATAATATTTTAAGTTTAGTTGTGATTGGTATTTAATTAACTAACTTTTTTGTATTTGTAAAATAAGTTTGATTTGGATAAGGTTAACTTGGATCCCAAACGTGCTCAGTTGTTGCGGAGCGTTGATGCGACTCTTGTAAAAATTTACATAAGCCGGAAAAGTAAAATTCATACTTATTTTAATGACATCGAGGGGCCTGCAGACATCCCAATGACATTAGACAATCCCCAAGGGTATGTCACGTGACATATGGAGCATTGCTAATAGCTTTAGCGGCGACATACCTACACTTTAGCGGTGACGTCTGTCGCCGCTAATGATCACCTTTCTTGTAGTGGCTAGTGGGTGTCTACAAGAGTGTATATTAGCTTTCCACTTTTATGTTTTGTTTTGTTATATGATTTTCAGTTTATGTAGTTACAAGAAATAAATATATATGTATATTTCTACACAAAATGATTGATGATAGATTGATATCAGACATATTTAAATCCATGCATGTGGTATGCGGATGCTATTTTTAATCCATGTGGTATGTACATGCTATTTTTAAAGAGACTTTCAGAGATTCGATTGCTATAAAATAATAAAGTGTAACGAATGAAGATATAAAAGGATCAAACTTACATCATATTTTACTATTAACACCCATTAATATTTAATGCTGGGTTGGTGAAGCGATTTATAAGCTCCTTATCGTATGAATTTCGCCATTTGTCAAGCATTTAAAGCCCATGCGTCGACACATGATATTTGCATTCTACTGTTTTTTATTACTTTTATTAATTAATTATTAATTAACTAATATCGTGATTATATTCTAAAATTTTATTTTTGATATTTTTATGGCAACAAACCACTTCTATGTTCTGTTTTAAATAATATCCCAATGCAAGATTTTAGGAGATTCTTTTAATTACTAATCAAATTCAAATTCAAATTTAAGGATTAGTTAGTATCTGGTGATGGTGAAGTAATGGATTGCACAATTTGTAACAAAACTTGTACATAAAATCAAACTAGGGTCAAAGATAAACTCTTGTAATATGTGCATGAAAACTTGTACATGAGCTACCATATATACCACTACGATATTTCTATTCATGAATAAGATGATGATACCCACAAAGCAAAGCTAACTCGGCTTTAAATCCACTCTATCTCTTGAAGCATTCAATTATTGAAATAATTGGAGTACAATGCATACAACGAAAGGTACAACACCCAAAGCACTGCAAATCAAATTGCAGTTGGAAGGTACCCGTAGCAACAATGGAGTTGGTGAATCATCGTTTAGGGTATTGTACTATGGGACTGCATCAGCAGGATCTGTGCCGTTCATGTGGGAGTCGCAGCCAGGAACTCCAAAACACGCACTCACTGAATCATCTCTCCCTCCTCTCACACCTCCCCCTTCGTACAACCAATTCACCCAAAAGTACAACTCATCAATGCAGATGATTAACCACTCTCCAAAGACTTCCAGTTTTCTTCGAGCCATTTTTCTTTCTTCTTCCCGGAAAAGGAACATGAAGGCGGCGCCTCCTTCTTCATTTTCTACTTGCTCAGTTTCCTCTTCGTCGTCCTCCTCGTCACAGTCCACGCCGATGAGGAAGACGGATGGGTGGCGGAGGACGTCGGTGGTGAAGTTTGGATTGGAGGAGGATATTGCGAGTGGTGGTGGTTCAGATTCACCAACGTCGACGCTGTGCTTCGGCGGTGGGTTGAAGAAAGGTCATAAGATTAAGAAAGTTAAGAAAGCAATGCTGTCTTTTGTACGTCATGGTAAGGCATCATGAAGAGAATTCAATGATACATTTTTTTTGCTTTTTTTTTTATTCTGATAAATTGTTCATGTTTTTAGATCCAAAAAATAAATAGCTAATCATTTTGAACAAAGTTTGATGTACAATCGTCCCGCCGTGAAATAAATTTAAATAATATTACAGAATTACAAAACTCAATCTATGATCAAATTTTAATGATATGTAACATTGAAAAGTTGTAATTTTTGTTTGTATAAATATATTCAACAAAAATGTAATTTTTGTTTGTGTAAAAATATCCAACAAATATATATATATATATATATATATATATATATATATATATATATATATATATATATATGAAATTTTGAAATATTTAAAATTATATAAAATAAAAAGCTTTTAAAAATGAATTGTTTTAAACAATAAAGAAAATTTAACTAACTTAAACAATTATTGTTAAGGACAAAGGGAATTTGTTATGCTTCTCTAGAAAATAAATAAAGCTCCTTATTTTCGTTCGATTTGCCTCTCTGTATATATATAAAATTCTAAAGCTCTTAGTTTGAGGACACGAAATCCATTAGAATTGTAATTTGCAATTAATGCTTTTTGACTCATTTTCAAACTAAGATTTCGTAGCGTGCATGGAGGGCAATTCATTTTCTATATTTATTCATATATTTTTTTTGCAATCTTAGGTTCGGGTTTTAGGAATCGTTTTAGGTGACAAGTTTTACATAACAATTTAAGAAAAACAGTTCAAATGAATAATCGTATAGTATTTCAATTGTTTTGTTGGTTTTAATTAACATTTATTCATGATGAACACGCATTTATTTATTTCTCGATTTCTAATTTCAGAAATTTTGGTAACCCATCGTTTCACTGGGTTGTGAAGTAGATGAGCGTTGGTTAGATTTTTAAGCTTAGGTATGCCATGACTAATCAACTTCGAGTAGGTTTCGTGTAAATCATTTTGCAATTATGGCATGGTTAGCGTTCACGATAGCGTTACAATAGAGTTTTTGAGGTAATTAGCCTAATAATTAATAATTAATACCAAGTTAAAAAACGAAGTACGAGGGTGTTTCATAATAACTAGGAGAAGTCCATGCTCCGCATGTGGTGAATAAGGTTTTGACGTTAATTGAGTTTTGAATTGGCAAAATGGATAAAACAACAAGAAATGTGACCAAAGTTATCAGAGTTGGAAAATTGGTGGCCCAAGTATAAAAGAAAAAACCAAAAGGGGCAGTTTTGGAAAAAACTATAAAAGTGTGGCAAAACCGTCAAAAACTAATAACTTTAAACAACTTAGGCAAAAGTATAAACAATATGAAAATTTGTGGCCAGAGTAAGAAAGTTAAATTGGTGGCCTAAGTGTAAAAGAAAAAACCAAAAGGGGCAGTTTTGGAAAAAACTACAAAAGTGTGACAAAACCGTCAAAAACTAATAACTTTAAACAACTTAGGCAAAAATATAAACAATATAAAAATTTGTAACCAAACTAAGAAAGTTAAAACTTTTCGGTTCTCGTATGCCCATGGGAATATATATATATATATATATATATATATATATATATATATATATATATATATATATAATTAGACCATCCGTTATACTCACCACTAACCATTATAGTAATATGTGTCACATCATCATCATAAACTACCACTAAACATATATGATACCTACCACCAAACACACAACTCCATCTCATTTTTTTAATTAAATTTAAATAAAAAAATACATAAAAATCATATAATTTTTTTGTAAATACTAGTTTTTCATTAAATTTAAATAGCAAATTATATTAAATAAAAAATACATTAATTAAAATAAAAAAATAAAAATAACATTAAAAATAAAAATTACATTAATTAAAATAAAATAATAAAAATAACATTAAAAATAAAAAACCTAAAAATACCAAGCATAACTACATTAAACTACCCCCTATACCTACGTCGGGCTCGAACGGACTTTTTCATCGCGAGAAAAAGCTCCAACTCTTCGCCATTGAGGTCGTCTGCTTTCATTTTCAAGATTTTCATATCGGTTTTTGTTTGAAGCGTCGCTTGTGCCTCTTGAAATGACGTTTACGCTTCAATCAATTTTTTCTACCCGACTCATAATCTCGGCCTTGTTCTCTTGAACTTGCACTTATCGATCAAATTTGTCTTCAAAATGATCCATAACACTAGATCTCGTAGACGCCGAACCCATTTTTTTGCTTTACTTCTTCCAACGGGCCGACGAAGAGATTGCTCGTTTTCAAGATCGAGCGGATAATCGTTGATGTCGATGTGTGTTCGTCCGTCCAATTGTTAGGACGTTGAATCCGGGTTTCTTGACCGCTTTGAACTGGAAGAGGTTTGTGAAGTTCCTTCCGTTTGTTGTATCCGTTTTGGAGCGTCTTTCAATTTTAGCCATGCTTTCACGTACGGAAAAGCTTTGCGGGTTGGCGTTATTTTTTCAAATTAGTCTAAGGCCGCCTTGAAGACATCAAAATCGTTTGACCCGCTTTTGCATATGTTTTGGAGGTTGCTGTAAATTCCTCCAAATTCCGTGCATTTTAGTTGAATATCGCGCCATTTGGAGCTAATTTGATTGGGATTTCGAGATTCACTTCCCGTTAACGCATAAAACACACTTCGAGCTTTCCCCCAAAAACAATTGAAGGTTTGATTATCTCCTTTAATTGGGTCTTGGGAAGCCGAAATCCACGCCTCCGCTGGCTTTTCTTCTTCCTCTTTTGTCCATGACATCCTTTCTTGGGTAGTAGTGGGTTGCACCGGTTTTTTTTTTCCTTTCTTTTTTTTTGGTTGAGGAGGTGGTGAAGGTTGCGTTTCTGAAATGAAATATGGCGAATGAGGTGGTTGTGATTGTTGTGGTTGTGAAGGTGGTGGTTGTGACGATTGTGGATTGAATTGTTGTTGGAATTATTGAAATTAGTGGAATTGTTGTTGAAAGGCCGGGAAAGGTTGGTATTGTTGTTGGAAAAGTTGTGTTTGTTGGATAGGTGAACCGGTTTGAAGCAAATTGACAAAACCACCTTGAGGTGATTCCATGGTCGGGAATTGGCGAGGGGTTGTATCTTACGCAAAAGCATTATCGGGTTTGCGATTTCTAAAGTTTGGGGGGGGGGGGTTATTTTGGTTGGGATCCATTTTTGATGGTTATGAAAATGTTGTATGTATTGTGTATATAGAGAAAGAAAAGAATGGTGTAAGAAATGAGGGTTAAAAATTTGGTATTTATAGGTAAAAATTGTGATTAAAAAACATTAAAAAATAGTCGTTCAACGGCTAATCCGATTGAAAGTCAAGAGGCATGCTCTGATTGGGCATTTGGTTCCGTGGTACGCACCACGAATAACAACGAGCACGCCCGACCATGAATGGCCGAGATAGTGTGCACGAGCACATTTCGTGGCCAGGTATACCACGGAGGCTTTCATGGTTGGTATATGTGACGACCTTAGTTGAAAAAGAAAACACTAACTGAAAATTAAGGTCTAAATCTGTTAATAATTGAAACCCAAGATCAAGTTGAGAACCAGAATTTATTACGACAAGGTAGTCGATCTTTTTTTTTTTTGAAACTGCAAATGTTTTGGTTAAAAATCAACTAAGTAGGATCTAACAAAATTGTATGAGAGGTTGTGATGTCCGTGGAAAATTAAATAAGAAATGATAATCAAAGTGTCACACCCCCAAACCGGAACGGCGAAAACGTTCGGGGGCGGAGGACGTCATGTTTAGTATCACAAGACATGCATCATAGTAATCAAAGTAATAAACAACCATTGTATTAATATTAAAGTGTTTACAAAGTATGTGTTTCACATAAGATAGATTACAAAAGTAAATGACAAAACAAGACATGAAGCTACTATGCTCCATCTTCTGAATCCCATCACGTGTACCTGTCTACTAGTTACCTGAGAATACAAGTTATTTTGAAAGAGTAGATCAACATTTAAGCTGGTGAGTTCATAAGTATTTAAGTGATGTATTAGTAAGTTGAAAGCTCTTTTAGAAAAGTTCGCCTGTTCCTCAGAAGATCCTATACCTTCTGATGTGATAAAAAATAAGTATAAATGACTCTATAATCCTTTCTATGAGTATTAAATGAATATAAGTTATATAGAATACAGATCAAACAAACAATCGATTGTGTGAATCTGCCCTAAACCCACAACCAAACAAGGAACAATGAATGAGGCGGAAGTCACACATCCCATTGTTTGTTAGAACTTCATTGTATATAACTCTGGTGCATTCATTTGGTACTCACGGAGTTAACTGTAATAGTTCCTTTAGTAAAAATGGTAACCACCATAGTTCCTTCTATAATCACTTAGTTTACACTAGTTATATTTTGATCTAAAATCGAACATGTAGTTAATTGTGTGAATCTGCCCTAAGCCCACAACCAAACAAGGAACAGGAAGTAAGGCGGAAAACACACATCTAACTATCCGTCGGATATTACATATATATAACCCTGATGTGTAAACTAAAGTATTATAGAATTAACCACTTAAGGTCCTTTAAGTTGTACTTGTTTAATAAAATGGATTAAACCTTTCACTGTTAAGTTTCTAGTTTAGTTTACTCAATGTTCTATCTGAAAATATGTTTTTGTACTAGAAAGCGATGTATTGAATTTGTATACTATGACCTGACCTATACCTGGTACTCCTTATGATTACTTGGTGTATACGATATATATATATATATATATATATATATATTATATATATATATATATATATATATATATATATATATATATATATATTCAAGATCGAGTAGATAGTAGACTGGGTGCATCTGCTCTAAACCCACAACCAAACAAGGAACATGGAATGAAGCGGAAAGCACACATTCTACTATCTACTCGACTCAATTAATATATATCCTAGATGTATCTACCGAGAAATTATAAAGTTAGCATTATAAGTCACCTTCTAACTGAATGTTTATGTTACACATTTTACTTATGTTTAATGTTTTTCC